AAGATATTGCTCATGTAATAAATCAAACAAAGTGGCACCTTGCCCACTTCTTTCCAATTTTTGAAACACTCCCTTATATACATTTACTTACATATATGATAAGAATAACCAATCAGAAGATCAGAATGTCCCCCTAGTGGCTTTCTCAGCAATTTTAATGGGCTTGGATGCCATTTCTTTCTTTTGAACCAATATTTCAAGGAGGTAGGGTGTGTCTTTAGTCTGCTCAAAATTTCATATTTTTTAGACTAAAATATATCTTTCTTACAGAGCTTGATAAATTAGTGTAATTCTGTGGTATTAATGAAGTAACTTATGATTTTTTAGTTATTCAAATGTATATATATATAAATCCTTAAAATAGTTATTTTGTTTCGTATCCTCCAAGTGCAAAATTTTTAAAGGCTTAGCAACCTACGTCAAACAGCAACTGAGTACAAAAGTCGTAACTAGAAGAGATAATTGTTTGCTTTACATCTTTATTTACTGTTCTATGTTTTAAAAAAAAATATATAAGAACTTATTTCAAAATAACAATAATCTACATACATATATAATGTATAATAATTGGAATGTGACTGTATTTTACAAAATACTAGTCTACTAAAACACAGCCAAGACACGTTACTTTCACAGACCAAAGGTCAGTTTTATGTTATTTGATATGGTAACATGAGTGTAAGTGAGCCTCATCATTGTAACTTCTGTATTGTTAGCCAAGCACGGCTGAAAGGTCAATATAATAAAAAATAATAAATATATAATGTTATGAGATTTAAGCTATTTAGTCTAAACATTTATGTTTTCATATTATAATATGTGTTCATTCTAGAATGAAAGAGGTAAAATATATATTTATTTCCTAATTTTTTATGGTGGTTGCGAGATTGGTCAAATCTACCAACCCCATACAGAAATTAATTACTGAAAATTACAGAAAAAATATAAAGTTTTTTTCTTAAGAAACTTTTGATAACTATCTGGACATTATAAAGATTTCACATTGAAAATTTTCTGATGCATAAAAATATTTTTAAACTTAAAATGAAAATTACTTTGCATGCTAGATAGGCAACATGTGGAAAGAAAAAAAAGGCATGAAAAAAAACATTGACTTTACAAATACTTAAGACAATAAATAAAAAAATTTAATTTTGACATGTAGAAAGAATTGTAATAGTTTACTGATAAATCT